TACGGACGAAATATTTCATAAGTTTTAACTTTTAGCTCCGAGTTTGGAAATTTTCAACTTTTATTATGCTTCCGGAGCAGGAAATTAACGTTTTTGATGGTATATAATACTTCACTTAATAACATGGAGCGGAGTAACTTATTTTGGTAGCGAAGTAACTTACTTGATGGAGCGATCTAACTTTCGAGTGGAGCGATCTAAATTGGAGCGATCTAAATAGGAGCGATCTAACCGTGGTGCGATCTAACCGGGTACCCCTAAGCGTACGTTGTTTTGAAACTATCATTTTGGTACTAATTCTTTCTCGATTGAAGTTGAAGTCTGTTGTATTACAAGATGTGCTAGTGAACCTTAATTTAAGTAAGGTAATTTAAGTAATTTCATGACTGCAGGTGGAACAGAACACAGCCCGCCACCCTCTTATGAGGAGACTTTACGTTCTTCGCCTAGCTTTCTGGAAAAGTCAAGTTAAAACGGGGTTTTCTAATGCGGATTAGAATGATTAACGCCTCCAGATGTCCATATTTTCACAAACACCCGAGTACATTTGTCATTAATTGCTCATTGTCTTAGTCAAGAAGAAGCCGCTTTTCCGGGTAACTTGACTCGCAGTTTTGGTACGCCGTACGTTGAATTTTTTCTACAGCGTCGTAAAGTGCGTCGCAAACTTGCGGTAATTATTGATAATCGAAGACGGACCTGATTTTACTCTATCCAATAGTTGTTGCTCTCCGTAAACTATAAACTAGGCCTGTTCAATTTAGACGGTATTATACTGGCAAATTGCTTTGACATTATCAGAAAACAACAGTGGAGGAAAAAAACAGCTGACTCGATTGTGGATGGATCACAGTTAAGTGATCTGAAGCTTTCTTTATGAAGTTTAGATTGCTAAAAGGTCGTGTTCAGATCAACTTGATTTTACGGAGGGGGGGTGGGTGGGGCTATTGAGATCCACAGTGCGAGTCAGTTATGGGGTAAATTACTAGCTTTATTGAATTAGATATTGATTTCCCATGTTGAAACCCTAAAACTATTAAGAATTAAAACTAAAGCATACCTCAAATAAAACTACGTTTTTTAAAAGCAAGCGCCATTATCATACCTTTTGTTTCTATTTTTAAGTTTCTTTTTCGTTGATGAGCCGTTCAGGCCTAAAAGTGTTTAACTTAAACCGACTTATGCTATTGTCCAACTACGCTCATTATTGCATATCAAGCTGAAAAGGGTGAAAATCCTAATCACGCTGTTAACATTGCTAACAATACAGTGATAAGTAAACAAACTTTATGTGGTACATTTTGATTGACGGCAGACTCCTTCCCTACATATGCCCTTTCCCACGAGGGAGTCATTCCAGTGTTACAGAGATCTTTTTCTTTACAGCACTTTGTCTCGCACCACGAACCGTCCACAGAAGTCTGCGTGGTCTGTCTACACCTTTCTTGTGGACACCATCTAGGGCTATAACAAGCCTTGATAAAGTTATGCCGTTGTTGCCCCTTCCGTTGAAATATTCGGTGAGCCATGTAACAAACTTTTGGAGGTTTGCACTCATCGGTCTTTATGGCGTGTTTGTTGCAGTCCTCCCATGACAAATGAGAAAAACACTGATAACAACGGAAGCACAGCGAGTCTGTAAATAAAAAGATCAATGTTAAGGCTCTAATCAACTTTTGAAGAACGCATTCTTGTTTATCAACTATCGGTTAAAATTTGAGTGGCAAGTACTTTTTACTGCTCACCAGCTCTTTCAGAATTATTATAGCAGCAGAGTTTATATATGTATTTGTTGTTCCACTTTTACGCCATTTTACCATATTAAGTCATCTGGACGCGCAAAATATGCTACGGTATTACAGTTTGAAGCAGGGCAAAAACACAGACAGAAAGCGGGGCAACAAACTAGCCTCAGTGAACGATCCAAACTTATATTTTTTCGTCTTTTAGGCTTGTCTTTTTGAGCAACGAACTATTAAGTCCATCGGATATTTTTTTTGTTATAAAGAACACCTAAATTGTCTCCTTTGTGTTCTTGTCATCTTTTGCCGACGCCTTATGCGATCGATACGATACTCAGAGAAAGCTGTAGTCAAAATGCTAGAGAATGAACTAGTAGTGAAATAATAAATCCCATATGGTTTATCTTAAATGACGAGCAAAGTTTTAGCTGTATGGCAGACGAAATCAAATAATGTTTGCAGATCTATCCTTATTCTTCGTTTTTTGGTTTCGAACTTTGACGTGTTCTATGTTCTTATTGTATCCTCCGGCCACTGGACGTCGTATAATTTGGCTCCTTTGTAGAATTTGTTTGCATCACGCGATAAGTTTAAAGTCCTTGAGCTTATTGATGTTGGAACATGTCTGATGATGGAAGGAGAGTGGTTTGTAATTAGTGTTGATGTACAATGGATTTTGCTCTGCATTTCCATTTTCAATAACTTCAGGGTAAGTGGAACAATTTACGTGCGTTAAATCATTTATAAGCGTATTTAAGAACAACGTTTTAAGGTCGTTTCACTTTACCTATGCAAAGGAAAACATTAACTTTAAAGACGGAGAGATGTAATTCGAATTTCACGCGCTAAATTTTTTTTCTGTGCAACAGGGGAAATGTATGCCATTTGTATATTTTCACTTTTGTTTCAAAATTGTTTGTCTGATTCTGCTTGCATCCCCATTGGCTCGTTCATAAAGGAGATGGCGTGAACAAGAGAGGCCATCCGTGACGTCAAGATAACTATCAGTGACAATAAATCAATTCACAGGTGCAACGAGAAATCTAACACGTCTAAGCTATTTTTGGATACACTAACTCAAACTTGATGGTGAGCTGGAGTGGAGATTTGATGTACTGTCGAACCTCGATTATCCGGACTCGTTGGGACAAGACGAAATAGTCCGAATAATCGAGGGTCCGGATAATCGAAATATGAATATATAAGCCAATCAGACCTCATTAGATTGTTCTTCATTGGTTATGACACATGCGAGCGCTGCTTTTGCCTTTTCAAAGCGAAACAAACTCACCTTTACCTCACTTTTCAACGCTGTACTTTTAAAAGGACTATGGCGACGGATCTCGATCATGACTAATCATCATCCTTATATCATCCCGTGGCATCATGCATGTTGGGTTGAGAACCACGAGATAAAGAACATATTGAAGAATGTTTCCAATAAAAGAGAAGTTTCCATAGGCAACCAACAAAGGTTGAACAAGCCGCTCTTCGTCATTGCAGGCTTCGAGTTCGTTTTGTCGCCGAGTTTAGCATCGTTTTAGTCAAAGACCAGCTGAGCTACACAGAATTGAAATGAGCTAAATTGATTTTGAGGCCGAACTTTCCAAAACACTGAGAATGTTCCGAAGTGGCTGACGTATGAAGAGATAACAATCTGAACCGTACATCAAACCTCCGTCGCACATCTCATAATGCTGAACCTGAAAAACGCAACCAATTAGATGAATTTCTTTGAAAATGGCAACCTTGTTGGTAAATGGTTCGTTGTTGCAGTTGAACTCATAATTCACCGTGTGAGAAATTCTTTCTGTAATTGAGTGTCAGCTCTTCGATTTAGCTGTGGAGTAACTGTGAGTGAAACAGCGAATGATTCTGAGTTATTTAAGGCGAAAGAAAAAAGTTCGAGGGAGGTTCAAATTCGCAAGGAGTCAAATCTTGAAAGCTAGGTCACACTGGTGAACTCAAGTTTGCTTTAACAATCTTGTGTGGCTGTGCAACAGTTAAAGCGAAGAAAATATGAGGTAATTGTGCAGTGCTTAGTCACCGTATGCCTTAAATGCATTCATGTATTTTTTCCACTCTCTGTTAGTCTTACTTGAAAAATAAATTCAAATCATGCTAAAAGCTAATTCCTTGCGTAAAGGTCTCAGTTGGGTGTTGGCAACGTGTTTCGAAATATTTCTCAAAAATCCTTTGTCAAAGGGAGCGTCTACAGGTTCTATTGTTCTATTGTTTTATTGGATTATTCTATTTCTATGTCTATGTCTATCGCAATAGACACTCTTATAGACCGACAAGGTGGGTCAAACTTTGACTGATCTTTTCTCCGTGCGGTAACATAAAAAGATCTGATAAATACGTAAGCCTCTCACCTTAAAGAGCTTTATTCGTGCCATTGTGAATAATAACCCATCTACATTTTCAAAACAGCATCAACTTTAGACACGTGATAGTCATCTAGTAGATTGACTGAAATAGTATACCTGCTACCCGCTATACCTCCTTACTTACCTGAAGCAAAGCATGTAATTATGAGAGGCAGTAACACAGATTTCATCTTGTTCCTATTGCTGGCTCGTCCTTGAACTATCTATGCACTAGAACAGATGCATGTGCACTTCACGGGAGACAATGTCAAAATGATATTTTACGCGTCCTTTCAAGTTTTCTTCTTCAGGAACACGTGGTCTCGCTTTGTAATGGACCACGCGTCATATTTGAAAGGACGCTTGGTAGTAGTATAGCGCGTCTGACTAGCAATTCCCGCGCGGCCTGGGTCCGAGT